TTAACGAATACCCCCTCATGCATTAATTAATATCCTGAAATTTTATTCTCATGCATTTTAAAAACGTAATTAGCCCTCGTGTTCCACTCGGGCTAATTAATACCTTTCTGAAATGCATTCGAAAAAATGTCCGGAATGCACTGGGGATATTATAAGTGAAAATTGCCCCTGTTCAATTATTAGTTTTGTTTTCAAGCCAGGAAAGTTCTGTCTAAATAACATTGGATCATATTTTTAATGGAAATATTTCCAAATAAATATTGTATCATAAATTAAGTCAAATTCTTGTCGGTTTTATTCCCTAACACGCTGAGTATAAATGATCAGTGTTACAAACAATGATTTGACAGGTTAATAATGACAAACAAAAATACAGAATGTGTTGTCACTATGTAATTATAACCTTAAATATTTAAAAAGTACTTAATCTTATTTATCAGATCAGTGAAATTTGAATATGTAAATAATATAATATTAAATCAATAAATTTAAAGCCAAATTATACGAACTTTCATACTTTGCTACAGCCAAGATATATTTTATGTTAACTTTTCGCTCGCGTAGACGATTCGTTGTGTTGAAGAACATTATTACCAAGTTTCAAGTAAAAAATGTGTTAAAGGGCATTAATACAAAATTTCAAGTAAAAATCGCCATAAAAATATTTTCCTCATACAAACTTTGTCACCTCCTGTCATTTTCTTAGGGGTGGAATCTCGAAAAAAAATGTGAAATACATCTTTAATTATTTGTGTTGAAGAGTATAGTCGTGGAAATACCCCTAGTCAAAATCATTTAGAATGTGACATTTTTTTAGTAAGTTTTCGTATGTGATTTCTTATATGTTACGAATATATTGCTATGAATAAATATAAATTTCAAATTCGCAATTATTGAAAGGTACAGGAAAGTGAATAAGAGAAATTTTTTATAAATCAAAACTTTATTTTGAATGAATACAGTACAGTAATTACTTAATTAATTGAACTTCATTAAAAAACGAAAACACGGAAACTTTAATAAAAAAAGTTTCAAGTTAGGAGTGTAACATATCGACGTCTAAATCTTCAAGGCTACTGTTATCATCCTCACTATCATCCGAATTATTAACATCAATAATAATTTCATTCTGTTCTGAAATATCTAAAATGTTCGTTTTCCCAAGCACAATTTATTATTTTATCAGTATGTTTAACGTACTCAATTGTTCCAATGTACAGCCGGAATTTGATCGCTCAGATTTTACCAAATTGCACAAATATCATTAGGGGAAGAGCTGGTTCTTGGAATAATCTCATCATAATTTCTTTTAACTTTCGGCCATGCCATTTCAATAGCGTTAAAATGACTGTTGTAAGGTGGCAGCCTCAATACGCAATGCCCATGATGCTGGGCGTGTAAGTCTAAATGATAACGTTTTTGGGGTTGTTTATTAGTCAATATTCCCCAGATTTGGTCTTTCATGGCCTTTGGTAGACAATCAATCCCATTTTTATTTAAATATGCTATCATTTTTGTCTTTGTCCAACTTTTCCAGGAAGTTCTTCCTACAAATAAAGTAAAGTTTTAGTTCAATATGTGAGAAGACTAAATTGACACTTCAAGTCTACTATGATAACTTGCGTTATCTATTACAATAAGAGAAGGTTCCTGCAAACTTGGTGTAAACTGTTCTTTGAACCATTTTTCAATATTTTTCTGGTTCATGTTATCATGATAGTCCCCAGATTTGCTATTGACTTTAGAAATTAAAGACGCTCCTCCAGTAAAACCGTTTTAATTTCCAGCGTGAACCACAATGTATCTGCACCCTTCTCGAGTTTTTGCAATAGCGGTATTTACTGAACCGTCTTACTATATCATTTTGCATATGCTACCCTTACTAAATACCCACGTTTCATCAAGAAAAAGAGGTATAATTGTTTTCCTTTGTGTTGATGGTATTCACGTAAAAATGTTGTTCTTTTTAATTCAACTGAAGGCCGTTAAATCAAAAATAATCTTTTACTATTTTTCTTAAATTTGAAACCAAATTTCCTTATCCGGTTGGTTACCGATCTAGGACAAACGGTAAAATCGGGAATCTCTTCATTACTCGATCGTATAGCAACTTAATAGCTATGTACTGGAAACGATCATTTTATAGATAAATCTCCCGGACTGACGTTAAATTCACAGGATTCACTTTTGTCTTTATGTGACCAATTCTAGAAGAAACATTTTTCTTGTATTCAAGGCCAAACATGGACTTTTTTGTAGACTGTAAATAGATCTTTCCGAAATTTTCAACATTTCTGCGGCCAGTTCTGTTTTCCTTTTTTTCCTAAATTCCAAAACATCTTGGTTTTTATCAAAATAGTCTACATTTGTTTTGCTTGGTCGTTAAATCGCTTCATTTTTGACTGTTACAATTCACAAATTTCAAAATTGGACTTGTCTCACACAAAGTGGATAAGATAGAAAATGAAAAAGTTTGACTTGGTGCTATTCCACGACTTTAAAAATATCAAGTTCCACGTAAAAGTGTACAATAGAAATATTTTTCCCATACAACATTCGTCTCCACTTTTCACACCTTTAGGAGTTGAATCTCAGAAAATGCTCAAATACGTGTTTCATTGTTTGGGTTGAAGAGTATTAATACCATGTTTTACGTAAAAAATTAAATTTGCAATAGATATATTTTTCCTAAACAAACTTGGCCACCACTTTTCACTCCTTTAAGGGTTGAATCTCAGAAAATGCTTAAAATACGTGCATCATTATGCATTAATAGACAAATCGTGGCAAATTTGCAATAGAAATATTTTTCTTATACAAACTTAGCTACCACTTTTCACCCCCTTAGGGCTTGAATCTCGGAAAATGCTGAAATACGTGTTACATTATTTGTGTGAAGAGTATTTATACCAAGTTTCAAGTAAAACTTTAAATTGAACTATAGTTGGTCCCTCGGTTGGTCCTATACAAATTTTACCACTCCTTTTCACCACCTTGGGGGATGAATTTCGAGAAGTATTTTCTTAAACGATGCCTCCAGTATAAAATGAACATCCTCGCCAAATTTCAAATTTCTGTTATTTCCATTTTTTAAATTACTACCCACTAATTAATCTGAAAACAAATGTACACCATCCCAAAAATCAATGAATTATTTAGTGAACTAATCTATTTCCTAAATTATTTCAAAAGTTTAATATATGTATATTACGAACACTTTTATCTGATAACTTTAATAAGTGTTTATAATGAAAACTTGCGCCATCTGTAACGCATTACATTCTACAGAATGAAACTCGTTCTATATATATTAAATGTTTTAATTCTGTCAATGAGGTAAGAAACTTCCAATTTGGTGTTGCTATTACTGCTTATCAAGTACAAGGAGGATGGTCGGACGATGGTAAAAGTGTAAATATATGGGATCAGTTTACGCACACCCATCCTGACCTTGTAGATAACGATGACACTGGAGATGTCGCTTGTAATTCATATCACCGATAGATGGAAGATGTTCAAATTCTCACAAGTTTAGGTGTCATCTATTACAGATTTTCATTGTCGTGGTCAAGAATTTTGCCCACTTGATACGCCAATCAAATAAATGAGGTAGGTATGGAAGATTACAAAATTTGATTAGTACTTCAAAAGAAAATAGAATTGAACCTTTGTCACTCTTTACCATCGACATAATCCTCAACCCCTTCAAGAATTTGGAGAGTGGCCAAATCCTCTACTTGACATTTTTGCTGAATATACGCTAGAAAGGTGTTTACTTTAATTGATGATGATCTGAAGAACTAGATGACGTTCACTGAATCCTAACAAACGTGTATAGTTGGATATGGGCTAAAAAGTGCGGCTCCTGGTATTTCTGCAAGAGAAATTGCGAAGTACGAATACGCATATATAGAAGTTAAAGCTCATGCTAAAGCCTACCGCACATACGACGAAGAAGATAGACCAACACAGGACGGAACAGTATCTATTGTTCTAGACGGTTCATGGGTTCAGCTTACTAGTGATAGTGATGAAGATTAAGAAGCTGCCGAAGGACTTTTGTATTTTCGACTGTTTTCTTAGTTTATAATTTCAACATGGCTTGTATGCTTATGCAATAGACTTATCACCCAGATGGTAGTTTCATTCAAGTGATCATTCATCGCTTTGTTGACAGGCGCGAAAACAAAAGATTTCCCTACATCCTGTTTATCTGATTTTTCAGTAAGTGTGTTTCAATACTTATACCATTAATATGGTACAGTGGACTAAGTTAGTATTTCAACCTATCAGGATCCTTCATGGAATAATTCAGTTTGGTTGGATCAAAGTTGTTCCAGGGGGAATCAGGAAGCTTCTTAGCTGAGTTGATCAGACTTACATTCATCCAGATTTTGTAATTACTGAAAATGGGTTTTCCGACTGGATGATCAGAACAGAAATTATTATGCTGTAAACCATTAAAAGTAGGACAAAACAGTCGATAAAATTATCTAATTTTAGGAGTATTTGACTCGTGTTCACGAAGGTGTACTAGAATATGGTATTTATGTTACAAGGTATACAGTTTGGAGTCTGATAGGTACTTTTTTAGGGGAAAATTGGGTATACGAGTATATCAAGGTGACTGTGAAGATTCAGACAGAACAAGAACTATCAAAAATTCTGGCGAATATTATAAAAATGTAATCCCCATTAAATAAATAGCGGGCAGATACATGTGAAGAATGAGGAAACCCAGAAAACTAAGATTTAGTTGCTGGCTATAACGTACAGGAGTTAAACGGCAACAAATGTAAACAAGTTAAATACAAAACCGAATTAGGAATTCCGCTTAAAATTAAAACATCAGATTATAAATAATATAAATTTGATAATCCATCCCACGAGCCGCCACTGATTAAACAATTTTAAATTGACGAGTTAATCTTTTTCAACAATGATTTTAAAAGTCAGATGTACATCACAACGCATTTATCTGATAACTACTCCAAGTGCTTAAAAACAACAGCTGAACCATCTGTAAAGCATTACCTTTTACAAAATGAATGTTGCCGTGCATATATTTAATGTTTTAATATTTTTCCTGGGGTAATAATAATACGATTAAAATTTATTTATAAAATAAATATTTTCAGTGAATCACTCAGCGAACCGTCAAACAAAAAGTTTCCAGAAAACTTCAAGTTCGGTGTTGCCACTGCTGCTTATCAAATAGAGGGAGGATGGGCAGACGATGGTAAAGGTGTAAGTGTGTGGGACCAATTTGCCCACACCTATCCTGATCGCGTAGCTAATGGTGACAATGGAGACGTCGCTTGCGATTCATATCATAGATACTTGGAAGATGTTGAAATGCTTGCAAATATGGGTGTTAACCACTACCGATTTTCGTTGTCATGGCCAAGAATTTTGCCTACCGGATATACGAATCAAATAAATGAAGCAGGTGTGACTTACTACAAAAATCTGATTAGTGCCTTAAAAGAAAATGGAATTGAACCTTTTATCACCCTGTACCATGGAGATCTTCCTCAAACCCTCCAGGACATTGGTGGTTGGCCAAATCCTCTACTTGCCGATATTTTTGCTGAATTTGCTAGAACAGCGTTCAGTTTATTTGGTGATGATGTGAAGAACTGGACGACGATCAATGAACCCAAACAAACATGTATAACTGGATATGGCCTAGGAAATTCAGCTCCTGGTGCTTCAGCAAGTGGGATTGGAGAGTACGAATGCATGCATACACTATTGAGAGCTCATGCTAAAGCTTATCATATATACGACGAAGAATTTAGAGCGACACAGAATGGAAGAGTGTCCATTGTTTTAGATACTGCCTGGTTTGAGCCTGCAAGTGATAGTGAAGATGACATAGAAGCGGCCGAAAGAGCTTTACAATTTGAGGCGAGTTTTTAAATTTTTCTTCTAATTGGATTGTATTTTATAATTACAGCATGGCTGGTGTGCTCATCCAGTATATCACCCAGATGGTAATTATCCTCAAGTAATGATAGACCGCATTGCTGAGAGAAGCCAAAAGGAAGGTTTTTCGAAATCTCGTTTACCCGAATTTTCAGCAGAAGAAGTAGATTATATACGAGGAACTTTTGATTTTTTGAGTCTCAATACTTATACTACCAATCTGGCAAAGTGGACTACTGATCATGAAATTGGTACTCCTGGATATTATGCAGATCTCAGTGTTTCAACATACCAAGATCCTTCTTGGAATGGTTCAGCCTGGATAAAGGTAGTTCCATGGGGATTGAGAAAACTTCTTAACTGGATCGATCAGACTTATGATCATCCAGAAATTGTTATTACTGAAAACGGATATGCTGATGATGGACGACTAGACGATCCGGACAGAATCAACTATTATGCGGTAAGCCAATGTAAATATCAAAGCAAACATCAAACCAAAGTATCTCATTTTAGGAATATTTGACTGCTGTTCTAGAAAGTATTTATGAAGATGGTCTTAACGTTACAGCATACACCGCTTGGAGTTTGATGGATAATTTTGAATGGACAAGCGGATATACGTAATTATTGATTAAATTTTTTATACAATATTAACTAAAGACATTTTAGAATAAAATTTGGTTTATACCAGGTGGATTTTGAAAATCCCAACAGAACACGAACAATCAAAAGTTCTGCTGACTATTACAAAAATGTCATCGCTAATAAATGTCTAGTTGATACATGTGAAGAATGAAAAAAGAATAAACGACTTACGATTATGTAAATGCTATAAGATTTTGTGTAATAAAACCACTTAAAACGGGATGACGTTGATTGTTTTAATGGTTAATTGTACCACAGAGTAACTTATGTAGATTCAACTTTAATTTTTCAATACAGAATTAAATGACAACATAACACCTTATGCATAAAAATATCAATATCGTTAAAATGGTTCGTTCCTTCATTTGAATCTAAAATAAACCGTCTCACACTAAAATAGACGTGGTCACTTTTGATCCACGGATTTTCAGGTTCAAGTATTTCCGAAACTTTCGAAAACACTCGTTATATTTAAGACCATTCTGCTGCCAACTGCCATGCAGTCATTTCATAAAGTATAAGCTCTGGTTTTGGTCAATATTATTCATATTTGATATTGTAGTAGTATTGTATTTTAATTAATTATCGATCTGGAGACATTTCACAGCTCCTAGAATATGAAAAGTTATGTCTCCGTTTCCATCTGTCTCTCATCTGTTGGTGATTTTGTTAGACGCTTATCTTCAACACTACACCAATGTTGTAGAATTTAAATACCAAATTTTATTAAGCCTCAAAGTAATATGCCTCTGTACCTGTGACTTATTCATTTATCTTCATTTATATTTTAACATTTAGCACGATAAAAAAATCATAATAAATCTATTAAATCTTTCTAAAAAATTTACGTTATAAAAAATTGGTCTTGTTTAATTCGTTCAAGGTAGAGAAGTTTTGTCTAGATAACTTTAGATCGTATTTTTAATGGAAATATTTCAAGTAACTGTTTTATCATAAATTAGACTAAATTCTTGTCAGTTTTATTCTTTAACACGCTAAGTATAAATGATCAGTATTGCAAACAATGGTTTGACAGGTACATTCACAGAACGCGTTTTTGTTTGTCATTATCTGATTATATCAGTAAATATTTAAAAAGTACTTGATCTTATTTATCAGATCAGTGAAATTTGAACATCTGAATAACAATAGACTAAATTAAAAAAGTTAAAACCAAAATATACGGACTCGTATTTAGCTCCAGCTGAGATATACCTACTTATTTTTTATTGAGCATAATATTCAGGTATAATATTTCCATTTTTAAGTTACTACTCACTAATTAACTTGAAAACAAATATACAGTATCGCAAAAATCAGCGAAATCTACGTTTATCCATAAATGAATTAATTTCAGATTAGTGAACTAATCTATTTCCTAAATTATTTCAAAAGTTGAATGTATGTTACAAACACTTTTATCTGATAACTTTAACAAGTGTTTATAAAGAAAAATTAAGCTATCTGTAACGCACTACATTCTACAGAATGAACCTCGTTCTACATATATTAAATGTTTTAATTCTTTTACTGAGGTAAGAACAGTATTACGTACTCTAAAACTGATTTTCAAAATGAATATTTTCAGTGAATCACTCAGCGAACCGTCTAACAAAAAATTTCCTGAAAATTTCCGGTTTGGTGTTGCTACTGCTGCTTATCAAGTAGAAGGAGGATGGTCGGACGATGGTAAAGGCGTAAATATATGGGATCAGTTTACGCACACCCATCCTGACAGCGTAGTTAACGGTGACACTGGAGATATCGCTTGTGATTCATATCACAGATACATGGAAGATGTTGAAATGCTCAAAAATTTAGGTGTCAACTATTACAGATTTTCATTGTCGTGGTCAAGAATTTTGCCCACTGGATACACCAATCAAATAAATGAAGCAGGTGTGGAATATTACAAAAATTTTATTAGTGCTTTGAAAGAAAACGGAATTGAACCTTTCGTTACTCTTTACCATTGGGATCTTCCTCAACCCCTTCAAGAAATTGGAGGGTGGCCAAATCCTCTACTTGAAGACATTTTTGCTGAATACGCTAGAACGGCGTTTTCTTTATTTGGTGAAGAAGTGAAGAACTGGATGACGTTTAATGAACCCAAACAAACGTGTTTAGCTGGATATGGTCTAGGAAGTGCGGCTCCTGGTATTTCTGCAAGTGGGATTGGAGAATACGAATGCATGCATACAATTATGAAAGCTCATGCTAGAGCGTATCACATATACGATGAAGAATTTAGACCAACACAGAGTGGAAGAATATCCATTGTTTTGGACACTGGTTGGTATGAACCTGCTAGTGATAGCGAAGAAGATATGGAAGCTGCTGAAAGATCTCTACAGTTTGAAGTGAATAGTTTAACTGTGTTTTCTACTTTGTACTTATTTCATAATTTCAGCACGGCTGGTGTGCACATCCAATATATCACCCAGATGGGAATTACCCTCAAGTAATGATAGACCGGATTGCTGACAGGAGCCAAAAGGAAGGTTTTTCTAAATCTCGTTTACCTGAATTTTCAGCTGAAGAAATAGAGTACATACGAGGAACTTTTGATTTTTTGTGTATCAATACTTATACGACTAGTATGGTAAAGTGGACTAATGATTATGAAATAGGTACTCCTGGATTTTACGCAGACGTCAGTGTTTCAACCTATCAAGATCCTTCATGGAATGGTTCAGCATCTAGTTGGCTTAAAGTCGTTCCATGGGGAATGAGAAAACTTCTGAATTGGATCGATCAGACTTACAATCATCCAGAAATTGTTATTACCGAAAACGGATATTCTGATGATGGACGACTAGATGATCCAAATAGATTAAACTATTACGCTGTAAGGCAGCGAAAATAACACAACAGTAAATAAAAATATCTCATTGTAGGAATATTTGACCAGCCTTCTAGAAGCGATTCTTGAAGATGGTGTTAACGTTTCAGGGTATACAGCTTGGAGTCTGATGGATAATTTTGAGTGGACAAGTGGATACACGTAACTACGATTTATTTTTTTTTTTAACAATGTTATTAATTGAAGGCATTTTAGAGTAAAATTTGGTCTATACCAAGTTGATTTTGACAATCCCAACAGAACAAGAACCATCAAAGGTTCTGGTGAATATTACAAAAACGTCATTGCCAGTAAATGTCTAGTTGACACATGTGAAGAATGAATAAGATGAAGCAAATTCCGATTATGGGAAAGCTACCACAAAATATGAGAGCTTGAATAATAAAAACGTTTAAAATTTTGAAATGTTGTTTGATTTAATAGTTAATGCTCGGCTAATTTTAAAACCTGAATAAATAGATTTATTCGATTTAGCTCTCCCAAATTATGGAAAAAAATATCTTCCGTTTTCATATTGCTACGAAAGAAACCCATACGCCGCCCCGGTACGACGTCTAGGGGTTCTAGTATGTATGGCGATGAAGAGTGACTGATCGTCGGTGACGGCGGCCGGGCGGCGTTTGATAAAGAAAAGCCTGGAAGCGGAAGTCGCGATGGGTATTCCAGAAAGACGTCAATTGCGAAACATCTAGAAGGGAAGTATTTGTTTAAATAGAGGCCACCTTCGGGAACGAGATTATTCAGTCAACGAGTCGAGTCCAACGAGTGCCGCGAAAATCCAAACAAGTTGCACCGGAATTATTTTGTACATAATCGCTGCGTAATTAGTCGTGTAGATTTGAGTTACCAAGAAATAAATTGTTGAATTTAACCCACGTCGATTTTAATTACCGATCATCATAACAATATATATCTTCTGTTATATGTTCGAAATTTTATTCAACTAGTAATCTCAGAAATTATCGAATATCTTATTGCAAAATTTTATATTATTTTTAAAATACCATGCGGATGATAAAACGCTAACTAAAGTTTATTATAATCATCCTCATTATAAATTTGGTCAAATCAATCAAAATTTTATTAAGCAAATCCTATTCAAAAAGTGCAAAATAAAATAATTCTACTAGACTTGTGGTTTATTAATTTCATGTTAAGTCTACGTTTTTGAAAAAATTCAAAATTTTACAATTTAACTTAGAAACCATAAAACCGACTGTTCTGAAATTTTGCACTTGCTTTAAATTTGTCGTGTACACGCATGCTAAATTAGAAATTAGAATTCATCTGCTCACACCTCTCAAAAACCTCAAAACGGCATATTGGACTTCCTGGAACGTTCTTCAGTTACACATTAATTAATTTTTAGTACGGGCTATTTTGACGGGATAACGTAGATTTTCAATAATCGTTGTATGGGTAGCTAACCATTTCCTCAAAGCGGTGAACCCCCACATTCCAATTTCGAAGATACTTCACAAGTGTGGCGTTCCCAGAACTTAAAAACATTTAGGATATAGGAATATAATTTAAACTGTTGAGGTCGCACCATGACACCAATAATAATTGTGTTTTATCATACGTTTTATCAGTCATATTTTTGTAAAAATAATATAGATATAAATTTTCGAATGCCCTTCGACGATACCTTGAAAATTTGTCGGCACCATTTCTTAATTATACATTGTCTATGAATAGTAATTAGTATTTTCACAGTGGTCTAGCGCTATTAAAATGCTCTGTATTTTATTATAAAATCAGTGAACAATTGTGAAATACTTGATTATTTTATTTTACAAATAAGTACGTAAGTGAAATTTAAACAGATGATAAAGTAGACTAAGTTAAATAAAAACTTTTTTTTCTATTTTTCCAGAGAAATGTTGAATGACCCCAAGAACTATTGTTTCTAATATGATGCTGATTAATAGTACCTGATTGAAAAAAAAATCCGCTAGTATGCCGTGCAATTTATTTTTAAAATATTGATCTAGGCATTGCAGCAAGTTGACCGTAACTGTCACACTGAATAAAATACACGGAATACTAGATGACTTTTTTCCGATCATACGGTATAATCCAAACAATTTTAAGTTAACGAACTAATCTTTTTCCACAGTTGTTTCAAAAGTCTCACGTATGCACATCTAAAACGCATTTATCGCTTATTTTGCACAGAATGAACTGATAACTTGCTAGAAGTATTTATAAAGAACAGGTGAACAATCTGTAAAAGATTACATTTTACAAAATGTACGTTGTTGTACATATATTAAGTATTTTATTCTATCTGCTGGGGTAAGCACAATATTAGTTGTTATAAAAATATAATTTATTGAATAACTATTTTCAGAGAATCACTCAGCGAACCATCTAATAAAAAATTTCCTGAAAACTTCCAGTTCGGCGTTGCCACTGCTGCTTATCAAATAGAAGGAGGATGGGCAGACGATGGTAAAGGTGTAAACATCTGGGATCAGCTAGCGCACACTCACCCTGAGAAAATCGCTAACAATGCAAGTGGAGACGTTGCTTGTGATTCGTATCACAGATACATGGAAGATGTTGAAATGCTCACAAATCTGGGTGTCAACTTTTACAGATTATCGTTGTCGTGGTCAAGAATTTTGCCCACTGGATACACCAATCAAATAAACGAGGCAGGTGTGGAATACTATAAAAATTTGTTTAGTGCCTTGAAAGAAAACGGAATTGAACCTTTCGTCACTCTGTACCATTGGGACCTTCCTGAACCCCTTCAAGAAATTGGCGGATGGCCAAATCCTCTACTTGCCGATATTTTTGCTGATTATGCTCGGACGGTGTTTAGTTTATTTGGTGATGACGTGAAGAACTGGATGACGTTCAATGAACCGAAACAAACTTGTCTAGCTGGATATGGGGTAGGAACCTTGGCACCTAGTATTTCTTCAAGTGGCATTGGAGATTATCAATGCGCCCATACTCTAATTAAAGCTCACGCTAAGGCTTATCATATATACGACGAAGAATTTAGACCAACACAGAACGGAAGAGTATCTATTGTTGTAGACACCACGTGGTATGAGCCTGCTAGTGATAGTGACGAAGACAAGGAAGCTGCCGAAAGAAAGATACAATTTAACGTGAGCTTTTGTTTTTTTCTTTTTTTCTTAACTTGTAGTACATAATTTCAGTATGGCTGGTACGCAAATCCAATATATCACCCAGACGGTAATTACCCACAAGTAATGATAGATCGCGTTGCAGACAGAAGCCAAAAGGAAGGTTTTCCCAAATCCCGTTTACCTGAATTTTCAGCAGAAGAAATCGATTATATAAAAGGAACTTTCGATTTTCTTGCTCTTAATACTTATACGACAGAGTTAGCAAAATGGACCAATGATTATGAGATTGGAACCCCTTCATATGACGCAGATGTCAGTGTATCAACATACCAAGATACTTCGTATAATAGTTCAGCTGCTGGTTGGAGAGTAATTCCTTGGGGAATGAGACGAGTTCTCAACTGGATCGACCAAGCTTACGACCATCCAGAAATTGTTATTACTGAAAACGGATACGCTGACGACGGACGATTGACCGACGAGAATAGAATAATTTACTATGCTGTAAATGGTACATCAGCGAAACGAAAATAAATAAATACGTTTAATTTTAGGAATATTTGACCAACGTTCTGGAAGCTATATTCGAGGATGGCGTCAATGTCACCGGTTATGCGGCTTGGAGTTTAATGGATAATTTTGAATGGACAAGTGGATATACGTAATTATTGATTAATTATTTAACACCATCTTAATTAAAAATATTTTAGAGTAAAGTTTGGTCTATACCAGGTGGATTTTGACAATCCCAACAGAACAAGAACAATTAAAAGTTCAGCTATATATTATAAAAATGTCATCGCTAATAAATGTCTAGTTAATACATGTGAAGAATGACAAAAATAAAACAAGTTATGGTTATGTAAATGCTATGAAATCTTGTATAATAAAACCTCATGAAACGTGACCATATTGTTTGATTTAATAGTAATGGACACTCGCTTACACTATTATAAGTAAATTTGACCTAAACGATGTTCTATGAAAAACTTTTTAAAGTAATGTTGATAGTTGATTTCGACAATACCAACAGAACAATAACTGTAAAAAGTTCTGGTGAAAAATACTGATTTATTACAAAAGTGTAACAGCCAGTAAGCGTCGAACCGATACTTGTTAAGATTGATTTTACACCTTAATACGAAACAAAATGCTTGACATAAAGTACTAAACTGTCTAGAATAAAAAGGTAATTACAATTAAATTATGCGTGAACTACTAACTCACAAGCAGAACTTAAAACACTACGTTATGTATCCAGTTGGTCACGTAACGTTATCACAGCAATGAAAAAAGCTAAAAGTAAAAAAAAGACGCAAAATATTATCCTAAGGGTTATTCATTGCTCACTTGTTCAAAAAACGCGTCCACTTTATCTTACTCCGAACAGACTTTTTGACTTCGTCAAGTTTTTTTCATCGTTCTTCGTATTACAAAGCGGTGAATAATAAGATTTATAATAAAAGCAACAACTAGGAAAACTACAACTAATAAATGTTACAGCAATTAAAAAAAAGCTGAAAAACTTCAATTACCACATTTTTTGTTCAATAATAAGTAATTATTGTTAAATATTCCACAAATATTTAAAATTTGAATACTATAAATCAAATATAACAATATCTACACGGAAAATTTTGCAATGTTGAGCATCAATTATAGCAAATGATGTGTCAAGATAATCTTCCTCTATCTCTTAAATTCGCTTTTAATAAATTTTCCATTAATATGAAATGGATAAAATCTGGCACGAACTTTGATATATGTCATGATCATAATCATGAATCATATTTACGTATAAAAACGTGAAGAAACTATCAGCTTGTCAAGCATGCACTTGACGTTAGAAAAATAATTCCATTACATCAACTATTGTTAAGAGTGATCTAAACAAACAATCAAGATCTGATGGTATCAACATACGTGAAAAAGCAAAAATATAAACACGTATTTTTATTGAAGACTGCTGTGATGATCAGAGTTTATCGTTACAAACTAGAAACTGCAAATTACGTTTATTCGTGTCATCATATAAAATGATTAATACAAGTTATGTGTCGCTTGCACATAAAACTGGCAAAAAATTGTGATACAAATCATTAACATAAATATAAAAAGGAGCTGACCTTAAACTGGATCTCGTAGTACTTCGTATTCGACTGGTAGGAAGTTGGAAAATACATAATACGAGTACAACGGGTGTTCAATTGAAAAAGTCATCAAGTTGGTTTTGATGTTTTGTAAACATTGTGAAGTATGTCTATAATTAACCTCAAATTTAATCGATGACGCGGAAATGTCAATTATATAGAGCAGTATAAATTAATATAAATAAAATACGTACATGCGTTTTTCTCTACGTTTTCTTCTATCAAAAAAGCAACACCACCTTGATGACTCTTGTAATTAAACACCCGATATATAAAATTTTCTGTACCAGGTTCGAAAATAATTATGTAATGTAAGTGCAACTAGAGGGACGGTTGTTCCAAATGTTTTTTTGTTCTAATTAGAATATAAAATCAAACAGATTCTCAAGCTTTTCAGAAGTCGAAGAACCTGCACAAAGTAAATTCACTCTTCTCGAAATTGAAATTTGTTACTACTATAAAGACGTACTACAATCAGTTTGATTGAGTTGATTCTACTGTTAGTAAATGGACCGTGAGGCTCAAAGAAAAGTAGCGAAATACCATAATACAGTAGAAGTCCGATAATGTGAATTTGTTGTCATAATGTGAACACACAGAAAAAAGTCGTGTAAATTTACAATTATTTTACTGTTGCTTTTTATGTATTTTTTTACTTAAATTTAGTAAATTTACGTAAGTTAGCAGCATTGTGCATAAAATAAGTAAACTTGTGTCACTATTTGTATTTTCACAAGTCAAATTGAAAAAACACAATACAGAATCGCAATTGTAAATGTATATTCACTTTATAAATGAATTATACTTTATAATACCGTAAATATACTAACATTTTTTACAATTACTTCCAACTTTGTAAAATAATCCAGTCTACCGGTGAAATCACATGCATACTGTGAATTGTTGATGCGCACGCAATCATTACTATAACGCTTGCAGGTTATAACAAGTTGGAGTGCATTAGTTGTGGTAATATATTTTGTACAAAATAGTGTATTTTGTTGTTAAAGGTAAGTACTTTACTATTCTGGTTTACTATTTTCCTCCAGTTACAAAAGTACACTTTCCAGGCGGATAATTACTTACTATAATTTGCCCATGTCACCTTTAATTGTTATGTTAATGCAATTTTTATCACAGGGTGATGATATGAATAATTTAAATGAAATCATCAAGGTGGCTGCGCCATGTGTAATTGAAATAGGCAAGTATTTAAAACGTCTTTGTACCTATAACATTTTAATGTATTTTTGTATTTTTCTAGAGAGCGATCCACAAACAATTTATCACGTAGTTTTAGAACGACAAGTAGTGATTCCAAGTGTTGTCACTTTAAAAGATGCAGTATCTTGGGCGTTTGGATTATATTTTATAATGAATTTAGAATATCCAGACGAAGTATCAGCAGTTTTGGAAATGATGCAAAGATTTTTTTTGAAAATACATCCAGATCAAGGATCCAAATCAAAAAGAATAACACCAACAAAACGCAAAGTAATTGGCCTTATGAACAAATTAAATTAATGTAAAGTATATACAACATCAATGACTTTGTTTTGTGTTTATGATTTTATTACATGTTTATTATGTTTTTCACCATAAAATAAAAGGTTCACTTTGTCCGACATGGTTTCTTTGATTAAAACTAGTACTAAAAATAACAATAATTTGTGTAAATTTACATATCAATTCACGGAAATTTACATACCAATTCACGGAAATTTACATACCCATTCACGGAAATTTACATATTTTATTGTAAATTTACAATCGTCAAAATTACATTTTACTTGTAATTTTACATGTTCTTTTGTAATTTCGATTTACATTCAAAAAGTAAATATCACATTCAAACTTAAAAATACATTTCGTTGGAATATTACCCTTATTATCTCGGGTTACAAATTACCTGTGATTTTCACAGTAAATTTACAAGTAAACTTTTTTCTGTGCACGAAAATTTTTACACTGAATGCCGTATAGTGTGAACAGCGGAAGTACTCGCTTATGTGAACATTTTTTTTGTTTGATTTCATGCGATTTGTTATGTCTCAATGCTGATTTCCAAGAATTTCCTACCCGTTTGCTTGTACGGAATCATTTTCTGCATTGTTCCAATGTTGGGTCAATTTTTACACACAAATGTCGTCGAAGAAAGTGAAATACCAGTGCTTAACATTGCAACAAAAGTTAAAGATTTTGAAGGAACATGAATCAAAAAGCGCGAAGTATAAGCACAAATCCAAATTTTACCGCCAGTGATAGCTGGCTTCAACGATTTAAGACTCGCATTCGAATTCGTTTGCTGAAAATGTCCGAAGAAAAACTGCGTAGCCAACCAGAATTATGCCCGTTTGCACCAACGTTTAAGTCAGATACTTAAAATTTAAGAATTTCTTAAAAGCAACAATGTGTTGCACCAACGTTTAAGTCTTTCTTGAAGGGTTCTATGAAATCTTTAATTTAAGCGCCCGATTACCTGAGGCTTAAATTTGTAAGCAATGCTTAACGAGACACAACGATACAACGCATGTGCGGTACCCATGGTAACAGAACAACACTTTATTTCTATTGGATAATAATTTTGGTGATTACATGAAATAAAAAATTTCCAATTTTGTGACGATTCCATCATTTTTATCAGTGCTCAAAAGTGTATCTGAAGTGTAAAATAAAGTCTTAACAATTTAAAAATAAATATAAAGGAGGTATGTACCACAGTTACAATGTTTTGTTGTAAAGAATAACATGTTTTTTTCGTGTTCGTAAAAAGTGGAACATTTTTTATTAATTTTTGTTTATAAAGGATACGTTTATTTCATGGCACTAGAAGCGTGTCATAGTGTTTCATTTTTTCACGCATTTAAATGAAAAAGTGTCGTAGTGTGCAATTTTTTAAAGGAAGACATTCGTGCGGCAAATTTTCCATCTCGTGAAAAAAATATACACTTTACTCACTAGTTGCATAAATAACTATTTTTCATATGAACAATAAAAAGCGCCAGAGGGGAGCGAGAAACTACAATTATTTGAGGCACAACTGAACAAGAATAGGAAGAGAAAATATGGAATTATAGGTGCGAAAGCGAACTTTAGAGTTAGACATTGAAATAAAAAAGAAACAGAAAAATAAATTTAAGCGTAATAACATGGAAATGTAATAAAATCTCAAATTAAAAAGTAATATAGCATAGATTTGTTAATATTATGAATTTCCCAAAAAAAAAAAGTTATAAAACTTCTTCTAAATTCATTTCCCGTCCCCCGGTTTTGAACAATATTGACCTGGTATTTGACTATCTTCTAAGCCCATTTTTTATTAAACACCTAACCAACGTTAGAGAAAATAAATATCAGCACTATTCGAACTACACACGTACAAACTAACGTAAAATATTTGACGTTTCTATACAAACAAGCGTTAGTGTTGCCAATAGAAATGAAACTTTTACACAATTCCCCAACTAAGTATTACTGGGTTAAGTCGAGTCTAAGCGGCGACGGTGCAACAACTGTACAATTTAAGAAGTAGTTACTTTTAAGAATTGCTTAGCTAAGCAATGCTTACCGCTAACGTTGGTGCAAATGGGCATAGTGGATCCTTTTCATTTCTGCGACAACAAGAACTGCCCTTGAAAGCTGTGCTCGTATTGAATAACTGTACTATCTCATCCTCCCGGAGAAACATTAAAAACAGATGATGGAATGATTTTCGCAGTTTATCTATCTCCAAATGTAACACCATTGATCCAACCAA